GACTGGCCTTGTATGGAGAATTATTGTTATGACAACAGACCCAGTACTAAACTACTTACTACTTTACTTTACTACTAGTAAAGTCAGTAACAGAAAAGGAGTCTTTATCAAAGAAATCATTTGAATGAAACCAACACATTTCACTTTTCCTTTGAACTCCCTCTTTTCTGGCTTATGCCAAGCTTCTTTAGAGTTCATTATGGATAATAGTACTAACTGATGTTTTGGTGTGCTGAATTTGCTTTGTCCAAAACAACAATAAGACAGGCAGAGTTTTTATATCATTTAGGGAGCATTAGCTGCTGATGAACAAGCTCACACGTGCTGATCTGTATTTGCATTTACACAAGTAGGACAGTGAAAGTATGAAATATGTCCGATGCTGTCAGTTCTAATTATAAAACTGCAACAACTACAAAATAATTATACTTTAAACATGGAGTGGGTACAACGTTTGGCTAGCTAACTACTAGAACAGTTTGAGAATTTCTGGACAGTAAGGATTCCACATCTGTAAAGTTTACATCTATGTCTGCGTTTAAGTTACAGACAGACAGCCATGACAGAGTTTAAACAAACTGTGCTTACTTCTATTCAGCAGGTTCTACAGAGCTACACCCCTCCTATCCCCATCACTGCTCCCATAATGACCCCGCTGGGCACTGACCCTCAGGCACAGCCAATGTCCTCTGGTGCTCCTCCTGCCATGATGCAAGGCCAACCCGGTGTCCAGGTCCCCTACTCAGGCATGCAGCAGCAGCAGCTCTCCCCTCCACCTATGAACCCTGCAATGCCAAAGACCAGCATGGAGGGTGCACCAGGAGCACCGACTGGAGATGTGATCCAGGTAAATACCTCTCAGGTTTAACTAAATGTTAAACCATAGATTTTATATGATGTACTGCAGATGGCTGTCTGGAGGAAATGATATATCTGTGTGTTTGTTTTTAATTGTCTAGCACTGCTGCTTCTTACCAGATTTTCATTGCACCAACAGACATACCTTAGAATCAACTGTATTACATTATACATGCCCCAAAATGTATTTTGTAGCGTATTCCGTTACGTTACTCAATGAGAGTAACGTATTCTGAATACTTTGGATTACTTAATATATTATCATGCTTTTTACAACTACATGAATGTACTATTGTTGTGTGATTTATTACTTTTACTGAAGGTTATTTGCCATACCAATAGCAACTAGATTTTTAAATCTTAATATAAAATGGGTAACAGTAGGGTGGACATTAGGTAAGGCTGCACTTTTTTCAGCGACCTTCTGCGCGTGTATTAGACAGGTCCGCGGCTCCAAACCGTAAAGGCATAAAAGCGTAAAGGGACCTCTGGCTAATATGTCGGGCTCGTAACCGAAAACTAGCTTTACTTTGTTGTCTGGGTCAACTTTGTATATATATATTATATATTTACATGCTTCCATCTCCCGTTTCTGGTGGGTGACATCTCTTACTTTTCGACTCCCTCGCGCTCACAGACATATAACAGGTATGGCAGTCCATTCTCCCTGCAGCACGGACTACACTGCCCATGAGGCTACATTCTTTAGGGCGATGCCTGTAACACTCTGCCTATTGCCTTCATATTAAATCATTTTTGTGAATAATTTTTTGAAATGTATTTTTTTAATGATGAATGATTCACATTTTTATATTTTTGGTAAATACTAGTTAACACGACTCTTACCTTACCCTTCAGCCTCTGCAGTCCATCCCTGCTGAGAAGATCATGAAGAAACCCATACCTGATGAGCACCTCGTCTTAAAGACCACATTCGAGGGGCTGATCCAGAAATGCTTGGCTGTAGCTACTGACCCTGTGAGTCTATGTAATGAAATTAACAGTGCAGTTCAACAAAGTGAGCCCTTAGATGAGTAACTGAGTTTTCTTTGATCTTTTCACAGCAAACTAAGAGGAAGCTTGATGACGCAAACAAACGTTTGGAGGCACTCTATGACAAACTCAGAGAGCAGACAGTGAGTATCCAGCACACCACTGCAGAGGTCAACAGTGAATCCTGCCTTTAACAAGAGTGTGAAATGGTTGTTTGATCTGTAAAATGTAAAGAAAATAGTGAAAAGCCTAAAATCATTTTCTGTATTTAAATTTAGTCATCATAGGGTTAGTGTGATACTCCATGCACACATCTGCAAGTGCCTTGATATGCTGTGAATTTACAATGTGCACATTTCTCTAAGCAGACTAGAAACAAAATGAGAACCACTTAGTGGTGAAAGTAAATTCTGATGTTTTGACCAATAGTCAAAACATGAAGAAATTTGACCTCCGGAATTTAAACAACTCAGCAGATTTTCACATGAGAAGCTCCTTCTAAAAAGAGGTGTTTCATGTTTAAAGAAATAAACATATTATAAAATGTAGTCTCAGTCAAAAATTCATGCCATCAACTGCCTTATAATGACTGTTTCCCAATTGGTGTTTTGCATTGATTTGCTACAGTTGGCCATTCTACTGACATAACTCTGCTGTTCCTCTGTGCAGCTCTCCCCTGCCATTGTAGGAGGACTGCACAACATAGCCAGGAGCATAGAGTCCCGATCCTACACAGAGGGCATCAACATCCACACCCACATAGTGAGCAACAGCAACTTCAGCGAGACTTCAGCGTTCATGCCTGTACTCAAGGTGGTGCTGACGCAAGCCAACAAACTCGGGATCTGATGAGGCTGAAAGTGCCAGCAGCTCATTTGAGTGCTGGACCACAGGTGGAGAGAGGCCGGACATGGGTCGATCTGAGTATTAAAAAATAGTTTCACGGGAAGCTTGTTCAATGCAAGCAATGAAGAATTATGTATGAAAATACTGTTAAATTCTTCTTTGTGCCACTCATGTTTGTCAAACAGAAGCCATGCTGTCAGTTGCACTCAGTGGTGAAAGTAAATTCTGAGCCAGTTAAGGGGCTACCTATCGACTGGCTGACAAGCAGACACTAAGCATTTATTTTTAAATCAGTCAACAATTAATACACAAATGTGAAAGATATGAATCAGGAATAAAAACTGGATAAAGCAAAATAAAGATAATGAATTTTAAGGACATTCCAGTCTGTTGATAATCAGTGAATCGTGTATTAATGGCAGACTCCTGATGCATGCTGTTGGCTCAAAATTTATGCAGCTGTATCGGCCTGTTCATCTTTAAAGTCTTTGAACTTTTGTGCACTACACTAATGCATATATACCTTTAATTCATAAATATATCTAAATTTTTCTCAGAAGTACAAAGTAACACTTTAGTTGTACATACAAATGCATCATTACTTGCATGCATTTTGCAGTTGACCTGCAAATAAGATTGCAGATATAATCACTCATTTTACCAGATAGAACATGAATTTGTTAAAATCATGGCATTATAGTGACAGTTAGGGTTAAAGCAATACTACGTGTCACATGTATTTAGAGTAAAATCAGTGGGTATCAAATGCCAGTTATTTTTAATGCATCTACTATGACTTTTGTTTAAACTTTAAACTCTTTTTTCTGCTTTCACTGACTTACTTTCACCACTAGTGTTACTACATACAACACATTGGACCAAGATACAGTCAGTGTGTGGGATATTTCAGTGCAGAGCAGTGTAATCCCAGGTGTTGAGGACATTGATGTTTTACTTCTTTTGTTTGTTTGTTTTTCAGTGTAATAATAAAGCTCAGCAGAGTGCAATGGACCTTTCAAAAACAGGCTGTGCTTTTATTGAGTTTTTAAGTATGCATGCATAAACAAATGCTGGCAATCGCCTTCCCTGGCATTGGAATTAATTACCTGCTAATTAATCAGACCTCAAAGGAAACTGGAGGAGACTTGTACTTGATTTTCATTCCAACTTTGATGAGGGCTGAAGTCTGAGTGGTCAAGCTCACGTTTATGTTGTTGATAAAACGAAAACAAGTCTTTGTTTTTGATTGACGACATGCAATATTTTCAATAAATAGTATTTATTTACAGTTTGCATTGTTTTTTATTTTGTTTGTGAAATGCACACTTCGGGCCCCTTATTACCAACTATCTTTTAAACATCACAGCCTAGCTGAGTATTGTTACTAAAAATATTCATTTCTTTATGCCCACAGTGTACTGATCTTTACATTATGCTGCCGGTGCCACGTCACAAAGCTCAAATCATCTCAAACAGTTTAAGACAAGCTGCAGAACACAGGTCATTCTTAAATGTCCTCCATACAATGTGGAAAAGACTTTCATGATAATACACCAAACTTTATTTATTTATTCACAAAAGGCTTATCCAGTCCAAAAAAACAATAAGAGCTCAAATAAATAAAAAAAAATAACACTGCTGAGTGCAATTTTAGCTGTATAAACTGACACAATTACAATCAATAAGAAAACTCTCTTGTCTCTCCAACAGGGTAATAAAGAACACGTTATTGTTCACACACTGTTTACATTCATTTAAAGCCAGAGCATGCAATACTTAAATGATAAACGATTAGGCGTTAAATGAGGGAATTCCATCAGCTTAAATAGCAAGTAGCTCAGATCATTTCCAACAGGTAAGTTTGTTATCGCCAAGTGTGCTGACAGCAGAAGCAGGAAACGGAGCA